ACTGGAGTTGCCATTTTGACATGTTGTGTCTGTTCTCCCCTATAGTCACCTCTGAATTAGTATCTCTAAGCGACAGTATAGACCTACTCTGGGTGTACTTAATGACAAGCACTTCCAAGAAATCAGGCTTTGCTCAACCGATAGTTTTGAAACTACTTTTGAAGCTCTTGAGAGCTTTTCTTGATTACGCTGCTGCTTTGTTGAAGGGAGAAAATATAAAATTCATATTCATGTGTATTCAACAGAGCCCATTTGGTCTAGTGATGAAAGCACCAGGTTACAAACCAGGAGGCTGTGAGTTCTCGTCCCTCCTTTAGACACGAAAGCTGGGTGACTTTGGGCCAATCACCAGGAGACTGTGAGTTCTAGTCCCTCCTTAGACATGAAAGCTGGGTGACTTTGGGCCAATCACCAGGAGACTGTGAGTTCTAGTCCCTCCTTTAGACACGAAAGCTGGGTAACTTTGGGCCAATCACCAGGAGACTGTGAGTTCTAGTCCCTCCTTAGACACGAAAGCTGGGTAACTTTGGGCCAATCACCAGGAGACTGTGAGTTCTAGTCCCTCCTTAGACATGAAAGCTGGGTGACTTGGGCCAATCATCAAGAGACTATAATTTGTAGTCCTGCCTTAGGCACAGAAGCCAGCTGGTTGACTGGACCAGTCCCTCCCTCTCAACTCAACCCATGTCACATGGTTGTTCTTGGGAAAATAGGAGAAAGGAGTATTCGATATATTAGCATAGTTTTTATTGTCATTGTACAAAATAAATACAATGGAGTTGGTTATATATATATTGGCCGCCCTGAGTTATTTATAAAAAATAATACAGTTGGGATGAAACACTCTTTAAGAAGTGTTTAGCAGTGAAAAGAAAATTCAACTTATCTGCAAATGGAGGTTCAAGTAAAATTTTCTCCTCTCCTCTTTACACCTCCTCCCAACTACTCAGCTCACGCTCCCTCCCACAATAAAAAGCTAAGTATATTCCTGACACCAAATGTTGTTTGCCTGTGTTTTTAATTTTTGAGAAATGGCTTGGGAAGAAGGTGAAACAAGAAACAGCTGCTATGTCTCTCCCTGGCCTCTCATCCTACTCGATGTAGGTTTCCAGCAAGGCAGATTTCTCTGAGGTCTGGTCTCACAGCTATCTACTCTGCTTATGAATCCTTTTATAGTTCAACTCCCCTCCTTCATAAATATTTTCCTGACACTTTGAAGTAACAAATGACTACCGAGTGGGCTGCATATTGGAAATGCTACCTGAGCGTATAGCTCAGGGGTGTCAAACTCAAGACTGGATCCGGCCTGCGGGGTGCTTAGATCTGGCCTGTGGAGCCCCCCTGGAAATGGTGAAGGACCAGCCCATGGTGCCTCTGCCAGCGAAAACGGAGCTCGGGAGGGCTGACTGTGGTCCTCCCCAGCCCTGTTTTCACTGGCAGAAGGTTGCAGGAGGTTGTTGCAGCCGAAAACAAAGCTTGTGAGCCCGTTTCCTCTGACGGAGCACTCGGGCCACCACAGGAGCCCATGACATGAGTGACGTCAAGTTGGTCATGCCCACCCTGGCCACCCAAGGTTAACTACAACCCTGATCAGCAGTGGGATTCACTTGCCTTCCCTACCGGTTCGCAAATGTGAGCGCACACGCCACCTTCTGTACATGCGTCCCGGCTTCTGTGCATGCGCAGAAGGTATCGGATTATGTCGGGGTGGGTGAACGGAGCCTCCCACAGCCGCCGGTAACGGTTCGCCCGAACCAGAGAGAACTGGCTGAATACTACCTCTGACCCTGATGAGGCCCTCAATGAATTTGAGTTTGACACCTCTGGTATAGGTAGTCCTTGTTTAACAACCACAACGGGGACCGACAACTCTGTTGTTAAGCAGAGTGACCACCAAGTGGCCACATATTTAGGATAGGTGCTGTGTCCTGGGGTCATGTGATCCCCTTTTGAGACCTTCTGTCAAGCAAAGTCCACGTGGAAGCCAAATTCACTTAACAATCGTGTTAGTAAATTAACAGCTCCCGTGATTCACTTAACAAACACAGCAAGAAAAGTCGTAAAGTGGGGCGCAATTTCTCACTTAGCAACAGAAATTTTAAGCTCAATTGTGGTTATAGCAATAGCAATAGCAGTTAGACTTATACACCGCTTCATTGGGCTTTCAGCCCTCTCTAAGCGGTTTACAGAGTCAGCATATTGCCCCCAANGTAAGTTCATATGCGAGTAAAGGCAGGTGAGTGAATACTTTTGGCAATATAGTGTATGTTTGTTAAAAGAGTTATCTTAAATTATTCATTGGTAAAGCCTCATATGGAGAAAGGAACTGTCCTGTTTATATCCTGGCTTAATTCTGAGGGAAACATTATCTACTCTCTGTCGTTTTCCACAACAGAACGGTTTCAAGAGTAAATCAGGAGGAAAGCCTTTTATGTAAGACGTGTGTTCTCTTTATTCCAAAAATAAATACTTTTTTAATCAAAGATTTTCAAATGCCATTATATAATTACAACGGAAGGGGAAAAATCCACTTCTTTGGCAGCTGTGAAGCCAACATACAGGAACTTGACGGGACCAATGCTGCTGACCAACTCAAAGCTGATATTTATACACATTTCCAAAAGCAACGGAATCTACCTTAAGGAGTGAGTGAGCAAGAGACTGTTGAGGTCTAAAAAAGGCACATTATGCTAGACAATAAAACATACTTCGTGTCCCTGGAATCAAGTATGTTCTATGTGACCTTCCACCAGAGCAACTGTGGACTGTGGATCAAGTCAGAGAAAGAGGATTCCTTTGTAAAAGGATTATTAACATCAGTGATTAAAAAAGGATCTCTTGAGGAAGGGGCAACTTTGATTAGTTGTTGGGCCTTGGCATGCCCACCCAAGGGGCAGAGTTCAAAATCCATGTCATTCAGTGGTATTGGGGCGGGTGGCCACGTACACAAACACCACAATCAAAAGCACCACCACAGCCAAGGTGGGCAGCACCACAGTTGTGACTTGCTGGCGGGCTTCGTGCATGGCTTGCTTTCTCTCCTTTTTGTCTTTGGATGTCTCTTTTTTGGGCTTCCCTTTCAGCTGTCTCATTCTCCTTCTTTCCTGGACCTCTCGCCAAGGAAATCTAACCAAAGAGGGGTCAAAGGGACAGCCAAGAGATGCTTCTTCCGGTCGACCTCGTCTCTTTTTGGCGTCGGATTGGGTCCGGTGTAAAAACCTGGAAGACAGAGAAGAGAAAAAAATGATAGTGTTGATGGTGTTGGGTCAGAGGCCTCCAAACATGGCCACTTGAAGACTTATGGACTTCAACTCCCAGAATTCCCCAGCCAGCATATCTAACTGAGGAATTCTGGCGAGTTGAAGTTCGCAAGTCTTAAAGTTAATACTGAGTGTTCTGACCTAGGCTTCACGAAGTCAAGTCCTCATGCTGATAAATCCCTTTTATTTAATTTACAGTGAATTCCTCTCCAGCAAAATCTTTCCTCTCTCCCAGTCTTTCAAAATAGTTCACAATTACCGACCTCTATCAGGCTTGGAGAGTGGCCAGGCCTATATCTTTCAGACAATGCAATACTTGGCAAGAATGCAGGAAGGAACTAATTGTCTCCTGCAAACTCCACACCCCGTCCGCTCCTCTTTTATTTCCTCTGGGAGGGGCCATTCATTATCCACCTGTGGCCTTACTCCCAAGTCAACCCCTGTTCTTTAGCTCTTCCCTTCGCCTGGCACACTGGGAACAGGCTCCAGCTGTTCATCTGCCTCACTGATGTCTGACTATGATGGCAGCTGGTAACTGTCGGACGGCCCTGGCCCCATCTCTGCCTCTGACGCAGAGCCCTCATCAGAGGCTTCTCCAGACTCCAGGACTGGCCTCTGTTCCTCCTCAACCTCCTCACTGCCCGAATCTGCTGTCAGCTCCGCTGGCTGCTGGCGGACCACAACACTGAGAAGTACATCCTATGCAGCTGGGAGATGACCCCCTAAAGCAGTGGCCCCCAACGTTTTGGGCACCAGGGATTGGTGTTGCGGAAAAAGGTTTTTCCATGCACTGGAGGGGGTTGTGCTTTTGCATGCTGCCTGCATTCTGTGGGTGGGTTTTTACTTTTTGTGCATCTGGATTGCTGGCATGCCATGGCCCGGTGCCAGTCCACATACCAAGGGTTGGGGACCCCTACCCTAAAGCTTTTCCAAACATTGCCAATTTTTTTAAACCTTTTTTTATGAGGTAGCTATGCCTTTCCATGAATAGCCAAGCTAATCCATTTAGAAGAATATCTATAATCGGGTTTTTTAAAATGGTGATAGTAGTGAGAGAACAGCCGGAATCTCAACAGATTTAAGTAAACACAGGCCCCGAGTTTTCATGAGATATTTATTTAACAAGAACACTGAGGTCTCTGAGATTGCAAAATGTTATTTATTCAAACTGACAAGTAGGAGAAATCAATAAAGACACACAGAACCTGTCCTCATTTCTACACAGTCACTTTATCTAGACTTATCCAAGTTGGTAGGTTACTGATGTGCTGGGATTTTAAGTTCCAGATTACGTGTTATAATATGGAAGGGGTAGGATACAATTATTTATTGAAGTTAAAATCTCCTAGTCGCTGAGATGAGGGGTGTATATTTCAGGTATCATGAATATTTTCTACGATGCTATTATACAGGAAGTCATCGACTTAAGACCTGCTGCTTAACAACCATTTGAAATTACAACGGACCTCCCCAGAGCTGCTAATGACCAGTTTTCAAAGGGATGACAGTTACACATACATACCATAGTCACATGTTGGGTGCTTCTTAAGGCTGTATCTTAAGAGAACACACACCCCGAGGGGCATTAGGGGTGTCTTGCCCCCACAGTATTTGTTTCCAGAGAGTAAGTAATCTGTGTACCAAATTCGGTTGAAATTCCTTGAGGCATTCCAGATTTATGTTGGAACACACACACACCACCATTTTATATATATAGATATATACTTGTTGTTTGTGGTCTAGCTGGCTTTGGCCTGAGAAGCTGGAAAACTGATCAAAACTGTCATTTGAGGCTCTTATGCTGGTTAAAAAAAAAAGCTAAGTTGAAGATGTGGAACTGACAGCATCTCTCTTAATGGCCATCCCTGTCACAGTCATAATGAAGGCTAAAACAACATAACATGAAAATTATATAGAATCTATTTTATCCACTGTCAATGGTCCATGATGGCACAAATATGTGTTGTACCCACCTCTGCAATTACAGGCCTTTGAATGCCATTGCTAGGGCTGCAATCACCAAAATGGTTTGGACTGGGACAAAGAAGTGGGAAGTCTTCGGAAAGCAGTGAAATGAGCTTAACCTAGTTTTAAATCAAATTAATACAGTGTTTCCCCAAAAATAAGACAGGATCTTGTTTCTTTTGACCCCCTGAAATAAGCGCTTGGCCTTATTTTCGGGAAGGTCTTATTATTTTTGAGGTGCTGGAAGAGATGACCATGGTCACCTCATGGCTGCTGCAGTCTTGCAATATTTTTGGGGAGGGCTTATTTTTGGGGAAACAGGGTAGCAATAGCACTTAGACTTATATACCACTTCACAGGGCTTTACAGACCTCCCTAAGCAGTTTATAAAGTCAGCATATTGCCCCCAGCAATCACTTTACCCACCTTGGAAGGATGAAGTCAACCTTGAGCTAGTAAGGATTGAACCCCTGGCACTCAGCAGAATTAGCCTGCAATACTGCATTCTAATCATTGCGCTACCATGGCTCAAAGAAATATAGTTCATATTTCACTCTGCTATTTTATTTTTCTGTTGCTTTAATTTCTTTTTTCTTTAGAGGGAACTTCTGGAAAGGGTTTGGGACACATCAACAGATCTGGGCCTTTTACTAATACATCCAATATAGTTGTTTTCTCGATATCTCCACCATAATTGAAGTGCAGGTAATCCTCGACTTACGATCACACTTGAGCCCAAAAATTATGTTGCTAAGAGAGACCGTTATTCAGTGAATTTTACCCCGTTTTACATTTACTTGCCGGAAGGTCGCAAAGAGGGGATCCCATGACCCCAGAAGACTTCAACTGTCACAAATATATGCTGTTGCTAGGCGCCCAAATTTTGATCATGTGACCAGGATGCTGCTGTCACTTGCTATGACGGTTGCAAGTGCGAGGACTGGTCATAAGCAACTTTGAACACTTGCTAAACAAAGTTGAGGATTATCTGCCCCCAAGTCTCAACAAACAGATTGTCTATATAAAACATACTTTCCCTGTGCTGAAATCAGCAACGAAGTTGTAATTGCAAGCTCTCTGAATTGCTTTGCAGGGTAAGAAGGGCGGCATATAAATTTAATAAATAGATAAACTGAATGTGTTTGGCTCTTTAGAAAGGTATCTTCGTTTTTCCTTCCCTTTTCATCCCTTCAGCCACCTAAAGATTCTGTTCTGACTGAGGCTTCCCAAGAGCATGAAGCAAACTTCTTGTCCTTTTATTAATTTACTGTGAATTCTGCTCATTCACATCCAGCAAAGTTTTTCCAGGGAGGATTTACAGGCACAAACCTTATCTGGCTTGGAGAGCTGCTAGGTCGAGGTTGCAAAACTTGGCAAGGAGTCTCGGAGAGTCACGAACCAATTAAGCAAACTAATTGTCTCCTGCAAACTCCACTCCCCTTTCGCTCCTTTTTTATTTCTTCTGGGAGGGGCCATTCACTGTCTGGCCTTACTCACAAGTTGACCCCTGCTCTTTAGTTGTTCNGCCTGCAGTGCTGCATTTAACCACTGCGCCACCTCGGCTCGGTTATATGTTGAGCACCACCTGTTCCATTGCTATAATTATTACATTTCAGTCTTCCTTTTAAAAACTCTTGCAACACACATATAGCTTATTTTAGAAGCTTTAGAAATCATGCTAATACTTCGGTGAGATGAGAAATAGTAGGGATGTTCCTGGTTGCAATACCCTTGTATTATTAATTCCCAATTCTTAAGAAGGCACCATTTTTTCCACTTTTTGTTCTCTATTGTCGTTGCAAATATTTTATATGCCTTTGAGGAGGGCGCCTCCATTGGCACAGTTTACATTTTGAGGCCAAATACTCTGTGGGACCTTAGTAATATACGTAGGAATCTTAAGACAGTTGCAAATGAATACAAAGGAAGGAAATAAATAAATCCTGGATTTAGAGATGTTCAGGAATGTAAAACTAAAATGCCCATTTCCCCATATCTTCATTTTTAAGATTCTTGAACTGAGTGATAATAAAATTACCCCCCCAAAAAATGCCTTTTTAAATGCTTGGAGTCACGATAGGATTCATGTGATAAGATTGCATTGCAAGCCATAACACCTTGGCTATAAATGGATTTCTGCAAAGGGAAAAGGTGGTTAGAAATATATGTAAAATGGCTTTATCAGGTAATAACCACTCTTGGTAGCTTGATCGTATGATGAGGTGGGGGGGGGGGGGGAAACCTGCAATGAGATTTTTCTGTTAAAATGATTCTAATAAATCACTCCCTTCTCCTACCATCACTTCATGTTAAGAGAGAAACGGCTTGAAAATTCTAGTGGTGAAATGCTTTGCCTTTTTTATGTTGTTAAATGCTAAGTCAGGAAGAAGCTTCTTGGATGAGAAGCAAAATGTCTTCAAAAGAAAAAACAAGAAAGTCCAGTTGCCTCCTGAAAAAAGCATCTTTGGGACAATCCTGACCTGGATGACTGAGAATCTCTACAGCAGTGTTTCTCAACCTTGGCAACTTGAAGATGTCTGGACTTCAAGTCCCAGAATTCCCCAGCCAGCATTCGCTGGGGCTTGAAGTCCAGACATCTTCAAGTTGCCAAGGTTGAGAAACACTGCTCTACAGATTTGTAAGTTAGGAACTTCCTTTTTCATTTTTTTTCCTCAACTTTTTAACTAGAGGAGACATGATAGTTCCAATGGTGGTGTCAACCTATTCTCCAAATCACCTGAAGGCAGGAACAAGAAACAATGGATGAAAAAGAATCAAGGAGAACAGCAACCTGGAACTAAGGAGACATGTCCTAACAGGGAGAACAATCAACTGGTAGAACAGCTTGCCTTCAGAAGTTGTGGCTGCTTCAGAGGTTTTTAAGAAGAGATTGGGCAATCATTTGTCTGAAGTGGTTTAGGGCTTCCTGCCTGAGCAGGGGGTTGGACTAGAAGACCTCCAAGGTCCCTTCCAGCTATTCTATTCTATCCTATC